TGACTGTAAATGCGCAAAACCCATTCCATTGCAGTTTTTGCGAAATATCCCTTTTTCATAGGCTATTGCCTGAAAACCCTCCTCATGCAAGTGTAAAAACCTTTTTTGCATGAATGGGAGTTTTTTTGCGAAATTGACGTTTTTTCCATTGTGCATATTTTCATTTTGCAATTTTAATTTGCGCAATTTGAAGGTTAATGGGAAAGCGCAGACATGAGGAAAATATAGAAAGCTTGGGATGTATTGAAACCTATTGAAAATATTATAAAGAAATAGGTTACTATCTGATTATGTTGCATGCACACATAGCGCCCTATCTTGCACCCGGCGCAAAACTGCGTGTATAATTCCTATTTTTGCACTGCTCAAAGCGGCCTCAGAAGCACGCCGGTAAACTATGGAATGAACTTGGGCTCCCATTCCCTGGTGCTATTTTGCAGTTCCAGAAAACAATTGCGCCACTGACCAGAAAAAAACCTGGTCTAAAGTCAGTGGCGCGTTGCGTGTTGTTCATAATGCTTATTTAAGCGCGCATGCTTGACCATATAGCGGGTGCACAATACGCATACACTTTGATTCTCTCATCAACACAGATGCAGCCGTTTTTATTTTTGCAAATCATACATTAGGCCTATAACAAGGAAAAATATTAACACATGAGGGAAATCATTGTGGTTTACGAAGATGAAAAAACCTAATTAGGCTACCCAATTTTTTAAGACTAATTGTAGTACTAAAGGATCAGACATGTTTGCAATAGTGGCAAGAAACATGTATATGATGCTTAACCGACGCTGATTTGGGTGGGTTTCTCCCATCCCCACAACGTCACTTCTCTATCTTTCACTGCCCTGACAAGAACGTCGGTCTCATCGGCTGTAAACGCTCCTGGCGCGCCTGGAAAACCCACCCTTATAATAACAATCCGTCATGCAACATGCCACCTGCTCTTAAAGGGTACGTTGGATGATGCTCTGTCTGATTGGTTTATTTCATGTTACACCCAAACCAAACCTATATGAATAATGAAGCTATTTCAGACCAACCCCTTTTAAACTTGCGTCTGGTGCAAGAGTCAATAATCCCGCCGGTAAAATAGCAACAGCGCCCAAGACCCGCCCACAAAGTTACTTGATACTTGCGTTTCAGATCGTTAAAATAGGGCCCATTGCCTATTATGTCGAAATAACTAACACAGTCTCATCCCAAAAAGTCATATAACTGACGTCTTGGGGCGTTTTTTGACCATACGTCAATATCCGCCTTTTTAGGGCCCCCTTAAACGTCGGTAGATGGCGATCCCGGGACGTCATACAACTGACGCTTTACCTTTAACGTTAGTAAGGTGACGGGTTGGGTTTAGGGTTAGGTTTCGGTCTGGGGTAGAGTTAGGATCCCATAACCTCATCTACCGACGTTTAAGGGGGCCCTAAAAAGGCGAATATTGACGAATGGTCAAAAGACGTCCCAAAACGTCAGTAATATGACGTCTTGGGATGAGACCGGGTTGAAATAACGAGATATTATGTTGAAATAACATTTTTAATAATACATCTTTAAGAATGTTTGATTGAATGCTGAATGTTGTGCTTATTCAATTTAGTAGCCTACAACAATTTAAACCTTTGAAAAAATTAAAATAATTGAATATTAAATATTGAGGGTCTAAATTTTGCTCATTTATTAATAGTATGTAGGCCTATATAGGCTATATAATTGTGCATAATTGTCAATGATCTCAGCCCCTCACCACCTGATAATTCCCAGGCGCCGCCCCTGAGGCTTATCCAAGTATTTGTGCGAAGTGCGGAGCACGATTACTGTTTGACATGGTAGAGGCAAGTGGCATGTTGTTGTAGTGTTATTATTTTTAAATTTAATAATTGTTAATTAAGGGGTTATTATTTAATATTTATATTAGATGTAGCCTACATTTTAGACATCTTGGATTTCATTAAAACCAAAACTGAGAAGCTTAAAACATTTTACACTACATTTTTGATTTTAAGATGCTAAAAATATATTTCCACCACACAAAAGGACACAAGAGGTGTTTAAGGTGACAATCTGTTAGATTGTACTGTATCTTAAAGATTGTATTGTCTTGTCTTCCACCTACTGTCTTATAAAGATTAAGATTTCGTTCATAAAAAATAAACAACTTATGTCCTGTTAGATGTGTTTTGACTACTTTTTATTTTAATGTTTATCTGTGAGTTAATAATGTTATTTGTTAAGGATTTGTGACACATCAATGTTTTTATTTATTTATGTATTTATTTTTTGTAAAATTTTTAAAAGATAAAATTAGACCCTTCTAGGATTTTTGTTGGATATTGCCTGTAAGAAAAGTCAGAAGAGATAAACATTAAATTTGCAACCCCACTGTAGCAGTATAAGTTTATTTATTTATTTATTTTTTTTTCTGTCAGGGAAATACAACAAGGTGAAATAAGTGTTAACCCATCTGTCTGTTACAATTAACTCTGCATAACTATGGGGTAAATTGTAACATTTGCACTTCTATCACTCAGTGCAATACGAAAATGGTTGGTCCTAGAAAAAAACTTTGTGTAAATTTGTAGCAGAAATCAGGGGCGGAGTGGACCAAAAAAATCTACCGGGAAATTTCGTAGACCACCGGCCCTCGTCGCCGGCAGGATTTTAATATAGCATTTACAGTTTTACTGATTAAAAAGAAACTTTGTTGTACTATGCTGGAGTAAAGTTCATAAATGGTCGTTCTTTCCCATAGGACTTTGTAAAATGTTGGGTGCACCTCTGTGCCTCTAGGGGGGTTCGGGGCCAAGCTCCCCCGCAAGAAAATTGTGTAGATTTTAAGGTTAAATGCATCAATCTCGTGCTCTCTGAGAGATCAAAATTAGCTTCAACCCATAAACTGCTCGTTGGACAAAGAAAAAGCATTGTACCAATAAAGAGGGCTCAAGCATCTTTATGAGAGTCTCAGTCTACATTACATTATCAATGGTGTTTTAGGATGCCAAACAATTATTATAATGTAATAATGTACATTAAATTTATTATATAACTATTCCTATGACGTAAAATCCATTTAGCCTATAAATGTAGGCTACTATATAAGTGAAAATTAGTATTTCAAAAGTATATATTTAGCCTACATTACACTATAATATAGGAATTTTAGTTTGTTGGCAAAATATAATGCTAGAGACCTTAATGTTAGGTTACACATTTTACATCTTTACATAGGCCTATGTGTTGGGAAAAGGGAGAAGAGAGAGTTCGGCAAAGCCCGGATTCGAGCTCGCGTCGAGCA